AGGTTTAATTCAAGGGGTTTAACATAAATAACAAGTACAAATTTTAGGAACTGCAACTATTTTTATACACAGTTCCTCCATTTTCAGGGGCTCACATGTAATTGGACAAATGAATATAATTATAAATAAAATGTTAATTTATTATATTTTGTTGAGAATCCTTTACTGGCAATGACTGCCTGAAGACTGCAACCCATGGACATTAGCAAAGACTGGGTTTCCTCCTTTCTGATGCTTTGCAAGTGAAATGTGTGTTCAATTGGGTTGAGATCAGGTGATTGACTTGGCCATTGCAGAATATTCCACTTCTTCTCCTTCCAAAGCTCCTAGGTTGCTTTTGCAGTGTGTTTTGGATCACTGTCCTGTACTGTGAAGTGCTGCCCAATCAACTGTGCTGCATTTGGCTGAATCTGGGCTGACAGTATATCTTTAAACACTGCAGAATTAATCTGGCTGCTTCTGTCACATCAATAAACACCAATGACCCAGTGCCACTGGAAGCCATGCATGCCCACGCCATCACACTGCCTCCACCATGTTTTACAGATGATGTTGTGTGCTTTGGATCGTAAGCTGTTCCAAGCCTTCTCCACATTTTTTTTTTCTTCCCATCAGACTGGTACAGATTAATCCTAGTTTCATCTTTCCAAAGAATGCTTTTCCAGAACTGGTCTGGCTTTTTTAGATGTTTTTTGGCAGTCTAATCTGGCTTTTCTATTATTCAGGCTTATGAATGGTTTGCACCTTGTGGTGAACCCTCTGTATTTGCTCTCGTGAAGTCTTCTCTTGATTGTAGTCTTTGACAATGATACGCCAACCTCCTGGAGAGTGTCCTTCACTTGTCTGGATGTTGTGAATGGGTTTTTCTTTACCATAGAGAGGATCTTGTGATCATCCACCATTGTTGTCTTCCATGGACGTCCATGCCTTTTTATGTTGCTGAGCTCACCAGTGAGTTCTTCTTTCCTCAGAATGTACCAAACTGTTGATCAGCCACTCCTAATGTTGCTGCTATCTCTGCTGTTTTGTTTTTGAAGCCTTACAATGGCCTGTTTCAATTGCATGGACAGCTCTTTTGAACGCATGATGTATGTTCACAGCAATAGATTCAAAATGCAAATATGACACTTAGAATCAACTTCAGACCTTTTACCTGCTTAATTGATGAAAAAATAGTGGAGTAGCCCACACCTGGCCATGAAACTGTTTTTGATTCAATTGTCCAATTACTTTTGGTCCCTTTGAAAAAACGGGGGGATGGCTACTCTTAAGAGCTGTAAGTCCTAAACCCTTCCTCCAATTTGGATGTACATACCCTCAAAATTAAACCTTAGAGTGTGCAATTACAGCCCATATCCGTTAAATAACTATAGCTTCAATATGTTTTGGTAAATACCTAAAAAAAAAACTAAAATCTGTGCCTGTGTCCAAATATATATGGACCTAACTGTAGGTCCACAACCTGAGGTAAGCAGCCATCCTATTTCCGGTGGAGGGTCACTGAATTCATTTTGATGAGGAGCACTGTTAGTGGAAGCATAAGAATTTATGGCCTTTGGGCTGATTGAGCACTGAAAGACTTTTTGATTCTTTATATTTTCTTGCACTTGAGCACTTTTTTATTTATTTTTGCATTATCATTGTAGCACAACACTATTGGATTTTATTTTAGTCCAAGAGAATAAGCCATTGTAAACTGTCTGTAGAGAGGGGTTCACAGTCCACTGCTTTGATTCTCACCCACAGGGGAATTTACTAAGTGGCATTATACTTAATCAGTTGAGCCATTTGCAATATAAAATCGTAACTGGAAAAATGGGGCAAGGCCTCTACCACCCCTCATTCTGGGTAAGTATAACATAGTATTCAGCAACCAAGGTTTAATGAGCACCCATACATATTGTAGCACCTGTCATGATAGGATCCAGAAGAAGTAGGCCAGTATTGAGATTGGGAGAGCACAGAAGAGAGCGAGAATATTTTTGGCAACAGGGTAGTTTTTACAGTGGCCACTCTGCCTAGCCCCTAGTGTTCCAGTCTGCTGGCTCCCTTTTGTGTGGTCCACCATGTCGTAAGATGGGTGCTGCTAGCTGTTGGTCACCTGTGGGTCACCTGTGGACTCTGCGGACTAAGGTGCTGGCATAAAAATGGTACTGTCAGGTGGATTGATCTCCACAATCCAGGAGCACATGATCAGGTAGGGTTAATTTTCACTGCTGCTGCTGCTGCTGCACTGACTTAACAGTGTGGACAGGGGGTAAAAAAAAAAAATAATGCTACTGACCACCCATGCATGAGACAGAGGGACCATTAATGCGGGGGTGAAAAACACTGCAACTGACCATCAAACTATGAGGAGAGTAACCACTTGCCCTCCAGAGGATTTACCCCCCTTCCTGACCAGGCCATTTTTGCGATACAGTGCTGCATTACTTTAACTGACAACTGCACGGTCACGCAACATTGCACTGAAATTAAATTTGTCCTTTTTTTCCCCACAAATTGAGCTTTCTTTCGGTGGTATTTGATCACCTGTGCGTTTATTTTTTGACCGACAAATTTGAGAAAAAGCAACATTTTTGACTTTTTGCTATTAAACATGTCCAGTAAAAAAATTAAATCTAATTTTGTCATAAATTTAGGCCAAAATGTATTCTGCTACAAGTCTTTGCTAAAAAAAAAAAAAGAAAATCCCAACACATGTAAATTAATTGGTTTATGTGAAAGTTATAGCGTCTACAAATCGTGGTACAGTTGTGTTCAAAATAATAGCAGTGTGTTGAAAAAATTGAATAAAGCTCAAATTCTTCTAATAGCTTTTATTTCTATACACACAAATGCATTGGGAACAATACACATTCTATTCCAAATCAAAACATGAAGAAAAATATATCAAATTTGTGGTGTTCCTCTAAGAAAAATTTAAGAAAAGTGAATATTAGACTGTTCAAAAAAATAGCAGCGTTTGTATTCTTCTTTACAAACTCAAACATTCACTATATAAACTGAAAAATGTTTGAAGATTTTGCTTTCCTTTGAATCACTTAATTAATATTTAGTTGTATAAGTACTGTTTCTGAGAACTGCTGTACATCTGTGTTTCATGGAGTCAACCAACTTCTGGCACCTGTGAACAGGTATTCCATCCCAGAATGATTGGACTACATTCCACAGTTCTTCTCTATTTCTTGGTTTTGCCTCAGAAACTGCATTTTTGATGTCACCCCACAAGTTTTCTATTGTTCTAAGATCGAGGGATTGGGCTGGCCGCTCCATAACGTCAATCTTGTTGGTCTGGAACCAAGATGTTGCACGTTCACTGGTGTGTTTGGGGTCGTTGTCGTATCCTGGAGATATTGCGGAGGTGAAGTCTACATGATTTTGTCAGCGATTGGATCTGGGGCTGGAAGGACGGATGGGAGTCTAGGATTACACCTAGTACCTTGGCGTGAGGGGATGGACTGAGGATGGAGTTAGCAATATTTATGGTGAAGTCAGTGGGGGTGGCGCGGGCAGGGAGGAATACTAGGAGCTCAGTTTTGGAAAGGTTGAGTTTGAGGAAGTGCAGTGACATCCAAGCCAATATGTTGCTTAGTAGGCTAGCGATGCGGGTGGAAACTGAAGGGGTGAGGTGAGGGGTAGACAGATTTGTGTGTCATCAGCATAGAGGTGGTAATTGAAGCCGTGGGAGTTTATCAAGTGACCAAGGGAGGAGGTGTAGATGGAGAAGAGAAGGGGTCCAAGAACAGAACCTTGGGGGACCCCTACAGAGAGAGGGAGTGAGGAGGAGGTGGCAGCGTTATAGGTAACACTGAAGGAGCGCTGCAATAGATAGGATGAGAACCAGGAGAGAGCGGAGTCACTGAAGCCAAAAGAGTGTCGTTTTTTGAGGAGGAGAGGATGGTCGAGTAGTAGGAGTATTGAATAGTGGACATTGGTTTTTGCAGTTAGGTCATTAGAGAGCTTTAGTAGGGCAGTTTCGGTGGAGTGTAGGGGGCGAAAGCCAGACTGTAAGGGGTCGAGAAGGTTGTTGTCAGTGAGGTGGGAGCTCAGACGATTGTAGACTAGGCGTTCTAGGAGTTTAGAGGTAAATGGCAGCAGGGAGATGGGTCTAAGGATGTTCAGGTTGGTGGGGTCTAGGGAGGGTTTTTTAAGTATGGGAGTGATGTGCGCGTGCTTCAGAGGGGAGGGGAATGCACCTGTAGAGAGGGAGAGATTGAAGATGTGAGTGAGGGAGCATAGGATGGAAGAGGAGGGTGACCGAAGGAGTTGTGAGGGGACAGGTGGTGAGGCGGGCTTCTGAGAAGACCTTAAGGACCTCTTTGGTGGTAGCGAGGTCAAAGGAGGAAAGTGTTGAGGGAGGTATGGTATGAGGAATGCTAAGTGGAGTGGGTGTCTGTGTAGTGGCGATGTCCCTACGAATTGTATCGATCTTGTTTTGGAAGTGGTGTGCAATGTCGTGGGCAGTGAGTGAGGCGCTGGGTGGTGGTGGGGGTAGAGAAAGTAGAGAGTTAAAGGTAGAGAAGAGCCGACAAGGACTCAAAGAGAAGGTATTAATGAGGGTGACAAAGTAAGCTTGTTTGGCAGCGTGAAGGGAGGAAGTGTATGTTAGGAAGGCAGATTTATAACGGGTGAACGCTTGGTGGGATTTGGTTTTACGCCATAATCGCTCCAGCGCACGACTGTGTCGTTTGAGATTTCGGGTGTGGTCAGTCTGCCAAGGGTGTAGAGGTCGGGGCCTGATTATTAACTTATTGAGGGTCTGTGGCGGGCATTCTGACACTGGGGGGAACGATCGGTCACTGACATGCCCAGTGACACTAATACAGTGATCCGTGTTAATAAAAAGCACTGACACTGTACTCATGGCACTGGGCAGAAAGGGATTAACATCTGGGGCGATCAAACGGTTAACTGTGTGCTGTTTTACTATATGCTGTGTGTGTCTTTCACTGTGTGTATCTTTCACTGTGTCAGCAGTGCTTTTGTATTCAGAGCAATACAAAGCAATGTGCAGGAGCTGATGGAAGAGATCTGTATTGTTTACATACAGGTCTCTCCCCATCGGTGATACTTGACAATCGCCAGGACCCAGTGATCGACAGCTGAGGCCGCCAGTGGCGGCTTGGGTAGGGCATGCGCGCACCCCCTACCCGGAAATGCAAAATTACGTGTATATATACTTGATTTCGTGCAGCCCTGCTGCTCTGTAGCAGTATTTCTGCTATAGGGCAGTGGGAAAGCAGTTAAAGAACACTGCCACTGAACACCAATAAGGGAAGGGGGTTTAAATGGCACTGCTACTGACACCAATGTTGGGGGTCTCATAGTAGTACACTGCAAAAAATGCAGCAGGAATTAAACTTTGTAGATGCTGGGGTGTGTTTGAAGTCCATTCATTTTGATTGGGCTGCCTATGTATTGCAAAAAAAAAACGCAGGTTGGAGCCTTGTTATGGACCATTCTCTTTAATTTCCACCATAGATTTTCAATTGGTTTGAGGTCCGGACTATTTGCAGGCCATGCCATTGACATTATATGTCCTTTTTTTTTTTAATAACTTCCAGTCCGGACCCTTTTTACCCCCTTCCTGTCCAGGCCAATTTTCAGCTTTCAGTGCTATCACACTTTTGAATGACAATTGTGCGGTCATGCAACACTGTACCCATATGAACTTTTTAGTATTTTTTTGAGACAGATAAAGCTTTATTTTGGTGGTATTTATTCTCCACTGGGATTTTTATTTTTTTTTGCTATATAAATGAAAAAGTCCATACATTTTGAAAAAAAGTGTTTTTCTTTAAAAATAATATTTCATCATAACTCTTGGCCAAAATGTATTCTGTTATCTTTTTAGTAAAAAAAAAAAAAAACAAATTAGTTTATAACCAAAAAATTATAATTAAATTTTTTTTTTTTACATTTTTATTTAATTTTTTTATATTTGTTTTTTTACATACTGTCAGCCTAGCAGTACAGTGTCACCATGATGACACTGTACTGCTTGTGGGGGGTGATGAAGATTTTTTTTTTTTTTTTGACACTGATTGCTTTTACACCCATAAAGGCTGTAAAAGCAATCATTTCTCCTCTCTCTGGCAGCATTTTTGCAGCCATTGAGAACTACTGTGTGAGCTGTGATTGGGCACAGCTTGTCACATGGTACAAGGCTGTTGTGAATAGCCTTGTACCATGTGAGCTCTGTGATCATTCACAGATTTCACACGTAGTAAGCAATGATGTCAGACGTGACATCTTGCTTACTACTCTGCATGTGATCACTGACTGGCCAATCAGTGATCACATGATCAGGACCTCGCACAGAGGTCCCGTACGATGATCGGTGTTCCACCTCTGAAGAAGTGCGTGCGCACGAAACGCGTCAGGAGGGACCCAGGACGCCGTTGACACTAAGCCGCCGGTGCCACGAGGAGGCCCGGCGGCCATCTTTATTCTTTAAGGGTCAGTGTGTTCATCCATACTTGCCAAATACTCTGTTCACTATGCACCTATGTTCTCATAATAAAGCTTTACCTACTACACTATGAGTACTTCCCTATGTCTCCTGTGAGGAGCTTCTCCAATTCTTACAGCCCCAAGTGATCCCTGTGTCAGCTCCTGTGAAGGGGGAGGCTTACCCAGATTGATATTTCTCTGACCTGCTGGACCATTCTTTCACCACATGAGGGCGTAGGACTTCTATCTTTCCCGGCTATTCCTTTGACCAGACCAGAGTGGAGAGGGGATTCTTCAGGATATATATACACATGCGTATATTTTTACGCTTTCTGGTTAGTGTGAATTTTTACCATTGGCACTAGGAATCACGGAGCACTTCTTTCATTGGACTGTGTTTTATTAATACTTTCTAAAAGCGCTGCATTTTTATATAGATGATCGGTGTTCCACTGTGTCCGGAGGACACAGCAGGCACCGGATCGTGGTGCTGCACGCTCCCAGGGAGTGCGCACAAGCAGGGGGCGGAGAGGCTGTTTATAAACGGCCACCCGACCCTGCACTGCTACCGTCCGGCCGTTTATATACAATGGCCGGAAGCGAGGTGGTTAAGGAAAATTATCATGGTTTTTGCCCTATGGCAAGATGCAATATCATCCTGAAAAATGTCATCATCACCAAATTGATGGAACAACAGAAGTGTCCAAAATCTCAATATAAACTTGTGAATTTATTAAAGATTTAATGACAGTCATCTCCCCCATACCTTTACCTGACATGCAACCCCATATCATCAATGTTTGTGGAAATTTGTATGTTTTCTTCAGGGAGTCCTCTTTGTACATTTCATTGGAAAGGCACCAAACACAATTTCCAGCATCATCACCCTGCGCAATGCGTATTCGTCATTCATCACTGAATATCACTTTCATCCAGTCATCCACAGTCTATGATTGCTTTTCTTTAGCCCACTGTAACCTTGTTTTTTTCTGTTTAGGTTTTAATGATGGTTTTCGTTTGGCTTTCCTGTATGTAAATCCCATTTCCTTTAGGTAATGTCTTACAATTCGGTCATGGACATTGACTCCAGTTTCTGCCCATTTGTTCCTCATATATTTTGTTGTACATTTTCTGTTTTCAAGGCATATTGCTTTAAACTTTCTATCTTGATGCTTTGATGTCTTCCTTTGTCTACCAATATGCTTCCTTTTTACAACCTTCCCAATTGATTTGTACTGAATAAATAGATAGATAGATAGATAGATAGATAGATAGATAGATAGATAGATAGATAGATAGATAGATAGAGAATCCAATACCTCAGGATGTTTCATTATAATCATCAAAAATGTGACATTCCTGCATGTTTCAGGGTTACAGCTTTATTTATTTTTAAATACAAAAATGTAATGGAAGCATTTTTTCATATATTATATTACAGCCTCTGAAAATGTGACCATACTACATTGTGTAAACCAGGAATTTTGCATATGGAAGCTAACAGAGCCAATTACTGACTGCACAGAAAAAGTTCTACAGGAAAACAAGTGTTTCATAAACCTCTAAAATGTATCCAATTTCATCACCTGATCAGCACTGAAAGGTTTCAGTAGACCTAAAGCTACTGGGTAATAGCAGACTCACACTTTTACTGTTGGGTTAATTAGTGACTGGCTGATATTCCAATCCACAATGAATATGTAGTTTTCTTGTAAGGTGCTTTTTTTTCTGTTAAAATGTGCCCTCCACCATTCCATCTCAAATGGTACCGGAATAGCATACCCGGCATATACCATAGGTTAGTTTACTCTGTGCTGGGGGGCTGACAACCATGACATGCAAAATCTGTTGCAGCTCTGCACTGAAACCAATCAGGCTTCCATTTTTCTCAAAGCTTAATTAAACTAGCTGAACTAGAAGCTAATTCACTACTATGAACAGCTGCACCAGATTTTACACTCTCCAGTTTTTGTTGGCTAAAGTGTATGTTACCCCAGAGCTCCATTTATCTGATATGTCAGTGGCTCCATTCACAAAGTTGTATCTCACTGCATCCGAGTGTTTTTCGATTCACCAAAAAACGCTACTAAAATACTGCTATTTTATGAAGTGATGCGTTATTTTAGTAGTGAAAACTTGCGGTAATGTAACATCGGCGGTAACCGGCGTGTTTAACAAACAGTAGTAAATAGCACGTTGTTAAGGAGCAGGTTGCCTTCAGCGTCCTGAAAAATCAGTTATAATCCAATTCCTTAGCTACTGCATGCCTGGATCACTAATTAAAGTATGCATTTGATCATTTATTTCCTTCTGTGAATTTACTTTAACCGTATAGTGAATTGACCTAAATACCACATGTGATCTGCATTCGTGAATCGATCCCAGGGTTACCAGATACTTGTGTTTGAAAGTATCCTGTTCTTTGTATTGCTTCCTTTGTGTAAAATACATGGTAATTAGAGATGAACGAATCGAACTTGGCGAAGTGGAATTCGTTTCGAATATTAGGAAAAATTCGATTCACATCGAATCCGAATTTTAGCAAACTTCAGATGCACGAATCGAATTTTCCCCGATCAGCCGGCAAAAGTGTCACTGCAGAGAGCTCCGCTATTTCTGACAGTTCTCTGACAGTTAAGACAGTTCATTTACAGCGGTTGAAACATTGCATCTATTTGTTTCCATTTAGGATTTTATTCTTCTTTTCATTCTTCTTCTTATTCAGTTTCTTCTTCTTCTTCTTCTTCTTTTCTTTTCATTCTTCTTCTTCTTCTTTTCATTCTTCTTTTCATTCTTCTTCTTCTTCTTTTCATTCTTTCTTTTCTTTCTCTTCTTCTTCTTTTCATTCTTCTTTTTCTCATTCTTCTTTTCATTCTTCTTTCTTCTTCTTCTTCTTCTTTTCATTCATTCTTCTTTTCTTCTTCTTTTCATTATTCTTCTTTCTTCTTTTCATTCTTCTTTTCATTCTTCTTCTTCCTTTTTTCTCTTCTTCTTTTCTTCTTCTTCTTCTTTCTTCTTCTTTTCATTCTTTTCATTCTTCTTCTTCTTTTCATTCTTCTTCTCTTCTTCTTCATTCTTTTCATTCTTTTCATTCTTTCTTCTTCTTTTCTTCTTCTTTTTTATTCTTCTCATTCTTCTTTTCTTCTTTTTTTCATTCTTCTTCTTCTTCGTCTTTTCATTCTTCTTTTCATTCTTCTTCTTCTTCTTTTCATTCTTCTTCTTCTTCTTTTCATTCTTCTTCCTCATTCTTTTCATTCTTCTTTTCTTCTTCTTTTCATTTTCATTCTTCTTTTCATTCTTCTTTCTTCTTTTCTTCTTCTTTTTTTTCATTCTTCTTCTTTTCATTCATTCTTCTTCTTCTTTTCATTCTTCTTCTTCATTCTTTCTTCTTCTTTTCATTCTTTTTTCTTCTTCTTTTTTTTCTTTCTTCTTTCTCATTTCATTCTTCTTTTCATTCTTTTCTTCTTCTTCTTTCTTTCATTCTTCTTCTTTTCTTCTTCTTCTTCTTTTCTTTTATTTCTTCTTCTTCTTTTCATTCTTCTTCTTCTTCTTTTCATTCTTCTTTTCATTCTTCTTCTTCTTCTTTCATTCTTCTTCTTCTTTTCTTCTTCTTTCTTCTTTTCATTCTTCTTCTTCTTTCATCTTCTCATTCTTCTTTTCATTCTTCTTCTTCTTTCATTTTTCATTCTTCTTTTTCATTCTTCTTTTCATTCTTCTTCTTCTTTTCATTCTTCTTCTTCTTCTTCTTCTTCTTCTTCTTCTTTTTTTCATTTCTTCTTTTTTCATTCTTCATTTTCTTTTCTTCATTCTTCTTTCTTTTCATTCTTCTTTTCATTCTTCTTCATTCTTCTTTTTTCATTCTTTTCTTCTTCTTTTCATTCTTCTTCTTCTTTTCTTTTTTCATTCTTCTTCTTCTTCTTTTCATTCTTCTTCTTCTTCTTTTCATTCTTCTTTTCATTCTTCTTCTTTTCATTCTTCTTCTTCTTCTTCATCTTCTTTTCATTCTTCTTTTTCATTCTTTTCATTCTTCTTCTTCTTTTCATTCTTCTTCTTCTTTTCATTTTTCTTCTCTTCTTCTTTTCATTCTTCTTTTCATTCTTCTTCTTCTTTTCATTCTTCTTCTTCTTCTTTTCATTCTTCTTCTTCTTCTTCTTCTTCTTTTCTTCTTCTCTTCTTTTCTTTCTTCTTCTTCTTTCTTCTTCTTTTCTTTCTTCTTCTTCTTTTCATTCTTCTTCTTCTTCTTTTCTTCTTTCTTTCTTCTTTTCTTTCTTCTTCTTCTTCTTCTTTCATTCTTCTTTTCATTCTTCTTCTCATTTCTTCTTTTCATTCTTCTTCTTTTCATTCTTCTTTTTTCTTCTTTTCATTCTTCTTCTCATTCTTCTTTTCATTCTTCTTTTTTCATTCTTCTTTTCTCCTTCTTCTTCGTCGTGCCCCGTGACTGCCCAAATGAGTGAAGTGTGCGGTGATTCTAAGATCGACGGCACTCATCTGCATGTCATACTGACTGACAGTATTATTTCTCTTCCCCAGCAGACTCCAAGGGCATTTAAATTAAGGTACAGTGTTCTGCACTAATATAAAGGCTCTCTGAAGCCTAGAAACCCTTTAAATAAGTTAAATTCGCGGCGAATAAATTCGCATCGAATCGAATTTCTCCCGCAAATTCGGCGAATCAGCCGAATCGAATTTTTGAATAATTCGCTCATCTCTAATGGTAATCCTGCCAGTCCCCTGCTTTCCTATTTCAACCTGACAATGCCTGGGGATGGAAGC